AGAGAGAGAGAGAATAAAGAAAAGGTCATAACAAAACTTAGTTTACTCCCATTTTGATTTTAGTCCTTCTCAGTCAGATCAGAAGAAGTTTGTTACTTTTCTGTTTGTCTCATTTGTTAAGTTTATTTGTCTCATAACAGCCTCACAAGTCAAGAGGAAATTTCATAATAGATAGATGATAGATATACTTTATTGATCCAAGCTGAGGAAATTGCAAGTGTTAGCAGCAGCTTAACACACAGTACAACAGTACAACACAATAAGTAAGGAGAACAACCTAAACATATATATATTTAAAAAATTAATTTAAAGAATAAAGAATTTTAATTGCAATACTTTCTTAGCAGTTGGTCAATGAGTCAGCAATTTTAAAACCTCTGGTCGAGGTCATTTGTGATGGACCTTTGTTGATATTTCTTACATATACTTTATATTAATCGATCATAAAACACTTTAATTATATATTACTGGATAAGAGACCCTTCTGTAGAGGAGCTACAGATTGAGTGTTACTGCGGTCAGCTGCTGGAAGTTATGTATAGTTTGGTTTTGACTGTACAGAGTTAGGTCAGGGTTAGACACAGACGTATAGTCCATGTATAATTTCCCTCTGGGATTATTAAAGTATTTCTGAATCTGAATCTGAATCTGAATGACAGTGTGACTCTTTGTAAATCATTCAGTCATTCATATTATAACGTAACACTTGACACCTATTACAAAAGAGAAGTTCCCTTTCAGCAAGCGAACAGCACAACACTCGTATTTGTTGCACTTCTGGAAAAGAAACTTGAATGAATATTTGTCCACACGTGTTGGACGGTGGCATTACATGTAAATCCAGTCATTTGAATTCTATCAGCGGCCGACATTAGGTTGACCTTGTCAGCTCCACTCAGTTCCTGTGTCTCCCACATCTCCATAACTGGAGTTATAGTTACAGCGACCTACTTACTGTAGAAGAACTTGGCCCAACTTTGGAAAAACAAGCTTTTTGTAATGCATATTTCAGGGCTTGACGTGGAAACACTGTCGGCTGGTTTCATAACTAATGGGCTGCGTGATCATTAGTGTCGTCGTTTTCATTCTTTTCAGGAAGAAACAGAATAAAACTGTGCATTGTCTTTCAGTTTAAACAGAGAAAGGAGCTTTTTTTAAAGCGTTTTACACTCCTCACTAACAGCTGTATTGTAATCCTGCATTTTGCTTTGTGATTGATCTGTTTCCCCTCCTCTCCTCTTGTGATAAAACATTTGAACTAGGAGCAGTTACGTTTTGATGAAAATGTGGTGTGTAAGTTCGGTATCATCGTGGCGAATGTGAGCCAGCACATTTTGAAGAGTCTCTTGCTCTGCCTCTGAGGCCCTGGTGTTTGTTGCTGCCCTTTGGCATATTAAGTTTCAGATGTGCAAATCTCACGGCCAGCCGTGGCCGCTAGTGGAAATTTCCACTTCCCATTCGGGCAGCATCTTGTGAATGTAATGTTGGGCTGATCACAAGAGTCTCCTGAACAGCACAGCTATGGTTTTGGCCTTTGAAGGGAATTTGATATGTACTAAGACAATAAAACAAGCACATTTAAGAAAAGACATGCAGTAAAGATACATACAGTAAATAACTACTCGCCTTTTGGAAAATAACAAAGAACAAGGGTAATTTAATTAACCTATGTTGGTCAAGCATTTTGCTATTTTATTTCCTGGAAAAAAACAAATGGCACTATTACTCATCAGCTGCATGAGTTCCTCACTTGACAAATGTATGAAATATCATGAGTCTAAATGTCATCCTTTGGTCATGTGACGTGGCTACTAAAGGCTCAGCTACTATTGATTATGAATATGGTATGGAAGACAGCTGGGGAGGTTAATGGGTGAAAGAGTTATTTGCTCACTATGTTTGATTAAACTCTGTATCACAGTGCTTTATGAATTAGTTGCGCAAGGAGAAAGGAGAAAGGAGAAAAGGAGAAAGGAGGGTTTTGTAGTCCGATTATGAACAATGGTGGCCTGTGGTGAGAGGGTTTGTTTGGTATGTACAATACGTGGTTGTCTTATGGTTTATCTTTTGCTATGCTCTACAAACTGTGATGTTCATGTTGGATGAACGCTTTAATGAATAGTCACAGTTGTGACCTGTGCCATAATAAGTGATGACTCATTGGTCGAAAGGGGAAAGTCCTTAAAAAAGTGTTTGTGATTGTATTCTGGCTTAATACTTAATACGAACTGGCTGTTAATAGTGACACTTCTAGCCAAGAGAAGTCAAGTGTAATACCTAAGGTGTCTTTGTTTCACTTGGCTAAACAAGTAATGGTATCCTCAGACGTCCGTACCCAAATACAAAAGAGTAGAGTAAACAAACATTCAAGGGGTAAGTGATATGTATGTGTAATGTTTACGCTGTAGCACGGATCGTTTTTTAAACTTTTTTCTTGCTTATTAGTGAATAATATTCTTGATAATAATTTGTAGGCTTCGTGTCGATGCCTAAAAGCTGCCACTGTGTGCGTTCATGTGTGTGGCTACCTTTATTGTCCAGATGTTTACGTTGCCCTTGGTGCATAAAGCCAAACACTTTGTGTCACCGCTACAGGTAGGAGAAAATACAGTAAAATAATAAATATAATGTGAGTGTCCTGTAAACTTGTTTCGTCCCTCATAGGGTTATCCTCTTTGTGAGATGTGTTCACAATAACATCGCATTTACTGGTTTACATCTCTACTTCAGACGTTACTTCACCGTACATTCACATTTTTAGTGAACTAGTTTTCTACTCGGTGAAGCGCGCAAGTTTGGCTTTTGTCCTGAGTGGGCCCTTCAGTTTCAAGGAGGGAGAGGGCCAACGAGGTATTTTTAGATGCACAGGAAGCTATTTATGGTCAGTTTTTATTTTCGTGGCTAATGTTTACATTCTTTAAATATTAAAATTCATGGAGAACACAGATTGGTGACAGATGAAGCTGAAGGCCACTGCTGGCTGTCAGACACTAGCAGTCTGTTGAACTCAGAACAACCCCAATACTGTACGGAAGCACTTCTTCTCTTTCTCCACTCACTCACTCACTCACTCAGGGTTTAACTTACATGTGTTAGTTGTCTGTATGTATACTTATTTTATTTATTTATTTATTTATTTGGCATTTTGCTTTTTATTTTTGGATAGTGACAGCAGAGAGAGGGGGAGAGAGAGGAGAGAGAGGGAGAGAGACAGGAGAGAGATAGAGAGAGATAGAGAGAGAGAGAGAGACGGGAGAGAGATAGAGAGAGAGAGAGAGAGAGAGACTGGGCAAGACTGCATTTTTGTGGCATGTGGGTTGTTTACTGCGAAGGAGTTGGATTTCTAGATCACTTGATGAACCCAAGATCCTCTATGTCAGTGAATCTTGATACTGTAAGGGTGTCGCACAGAGCCAAAGACTGACTTAAAGAGGGACCTTTAAAATCCATCAGTCAGTCTAACCTGCACTGAATGACATACTGTCATCTCTTAAACTCAGCCAGCTGAATGACACACGTCTGTCCTATAACTGTCCCACTGTAGCTGCCTCTGTTGATTGTGAACATTAGATCAATATGTCATAGATTATAGGGCCATGTCATACGTCCATAACTGTGTTTACATGCTTTTATTCACTTTGTAATACGGAGCAATGCTTGCAGAGGATTGCTTTAACCTGATGATTGCCATTTTTCTATCTTTGGTTTCGAATCATCATTTGAGAAGTCCCCAAGGAGTGAATAATATATTTATCATACTCACAGGTGAATGTAGTAAAGAAAGAAAGAAAGAAAGAAAGAACATGGCAAATTAAAATACCAAAGCCTGGAAGCCAGCGAGCTATTCAGAAAGATGACGTCCCCGTTTTTTAATCCCACCCACAAAAAAACTGACTGAAAACTGTTTCTCCTGTCAGGGAAACAGTTTTCATTTAGTACAACACTAGATCTATTTGAATCGCTGAACAAATTGAAGATCTGAGTGGCGATTCAGAGTATTTCTGTATTTTGTTGAAAGAACAATTGCAGTGGAAATGGCGTTGAAAAGATTACTGAGCCTTTTTACACCTCCATGTTGTCTTCACTATCAGTTTACCACTATCTGAAACAAGTGAAGCCACAGCTCCTTATTTAAAACTCAGCTGCTAACAAAGAAGTGTTATAAATGTCCACATCTCATTATAGACTCTACACACATGGGAATCAGCAGTCACCAACCTCAGCGGCCGGTACAATGACAATGGAAATAATGATATATCTGTAAAAGGGTAAAAAGGAGAAGCAGTTGTTCATGTATTTGGGACTTAAATCCACATATAGTATTTCTGTCAGTTCGCAAAACTGTGTGTTATCAATATTCAAAATCATACCAACCTACTCCTTAGATGCCTCCGTTCTTACCTAATAATCTATTATGTAGGATGGATTTTCAGTGCTGCTCTCAAATTCCTCCGAGGTATTTGTGTGTGTGTGTGTGTGTGGAGAGGATGTTCCTCTGCTGCGTGCTCGTGTGTTCAGATAAGCAGGCGGAGGTTGTTGTGGCTGTTGAGGCAGAGACACCAGAAGGAGTCAGAGAGTGAAGCAGGGTTTGACACGGAGCTGTTATGAACTGGGCACAGAAGGGCCATGACCCAAACGAGTCGACAGGAGGAGACCCACTGACGAGGCTCACAGGGACAACTCATGTCACGTCTCAAGGACCTGTATTATAGATCTATTCAGGCTTTTCTGCTCTTCAGCATGAAGGCGCCGCTCGGGTATGTGTTACTTAAATACATACTGTGAAGAATGAAGCGTCTACGTGTTGGCTTCATGTATTTCCGGAGGTGCTAGTCGCTTTGTGTGAAAGACGTGTCGCTCTGCAGCAGAGGAGGTTGTCCGGGCTGTGTTTGGAGGGAATGACAAAGGGCTTGAGTTTGAAATTGGGTAAAGAATATTAAAATGACGTAATCGCATCGTTTCTCTACAGCTGGTTAAAGTCTGCAACAGTTAACGTGGCTAAAATGGCTTATTGGCGTTTGGAAAGGACACCTGCTGTAGTTGTTATTTAATATAAAACTGATGACTCACTCAGCCTTCGCTATGCACACACTTCCCGACCACAACAGCACCTGGACCAAGTTTCCCCGGCCTGGGGGTTGATATTTCATCTCCTTTAAAAGTGCCTCAGCTTATGGGCATTTAATTTGATCACAGTTGAGCTTCTCTGTAATTTCAGTACCACTGTTTACTTTCATGGCCCATCCACAGTGTCTTGAAGAGGTGGGCGTTAAACGAGTGTGGCCTAGAATCACAGGTATTTCATTCCTGTGGTCCATGTCAGTAATTCTCTCTCCCCGTAGGAGTTGTTGGATAATGTTTTCATGATAGTCCTGTTACCTTCTTGGTTTAGTACCTTTTTGTTTGCCATTTCATGAAAGTATAACATGAGCTCCTTCCCTTGTCTCAGCTCTTTGTCCCATTAAAAGATGTATCTTTCAACTTTAGCTGAACAAACTTTCCCAACCACTAACTCCCACGGACACGACGATGCTGTCTTTTAATACTTGTTCGGCCCTCGTGTCAAGACAAACGTGCTGGAGATATTTCCGTTCAGTTCATACACAGCACCACTCTTATATAACGTATGGCAGGCCTTACGTGTTGTGACGACTTGTCGGTGTGCGTTGGTCGTCAGTTAACATAATAAGCTTGTCTGGTAATATTGAAGTCGTTGTGAGACTTTGAAACTATGTTGGAAAGAGAACTTCAAGTCACTAACGCTGTCAGCCCCTCTCTCTGATATCAGGAGCCAGGTGTCTTACCAAGAAGTCTGTCGAGCTCAGCACGGAGACGCCCTTCATGACCGGAGTAATGTTATATAGAGGCTTCTGGGGATACTGCTGTGAGTGTGTTCCCCATACTGAGATAGACCTTAGTTATGTAATGGAGTGCAAGTTTCGGGCGTCACTGCGATACACACAAATGGTGTAATCGTAAGCAGGAGAGGATTGTTAATGGCCTCAGCAAAACCTGCGAAACTTTCCACTATCCAGAGGAGTGGAGAGGAATGAAGCTCTTGGTGTTTAGTGACAGGGAGGGGCACACGACGGGGCCCCAAAAGAGCCAAAGTTATTCCTGTCCTCTCCTCCTCCTGTTCTCTGGGTAGGCGTAGACATGTCTGGTCATGTCCCTGTGGTGTATTGAGTAAGAGCACTTGACCAGTAGATCCTCGGTGTGGCCTGACTTTTATGAGTCATTTGTTAACTGGAACAATAGGCTGTGTCACCGGTTTACCAGCATGTATTTTAAAAGTGTAGGTCAAATAACAAAACCCTTTCTTTCCTTGTTTATGGAAAATACAGAGTGGAATACGTTAGTAAAGCCATAGCTGTATGTTATTGATATAGGAAATAAATGAGCCTTCGCTTTGCTGTTGGCTTTCAGTATAGATGTGAGATTTTGGCGTCGGACCAATTTAAACAAACCCTATGGACCAGCAGGGCTTTGCTCTGAGTCGTAAAAGTGCATATTTCTCAATAACTTACTGTAGCTTTGTATTGATTTTCTCTTGTGTTTTTAGTATCAGTGTTTTTCTAGGCACTAACTCACTTTTGTACCTGTTGTGAACCAGTTGACCTTCATCAGAACTGGTGCACCATCTGCTTCCCCTCATATCTATTACAAATACAGTTTATTAACATTATGGGATACTTCAAATGGTTTTTAGTCTCGAGGAACTGTGAGTAATAATAATAATTAAAAAAGGCAGTATTGCACATTTGGCTCACGGATATCTTTGTGCCTCATGTTGTGACAGGTTACATTTTAAAAATGTATTATGATGGTCTAATGTGTACGCTTCGGCTTTCAGATCTAAATCATGTCTGTATTCGGCTATACGTCTATCGCATATGCTGTGATTTGAGTGTTGTGTTGCATGTTAGTGGGCACAAACACACATTACCTGGAGTGGACTCACTTTGCATGGTGTCTATCTTCCTCAAATGCTCTACACAATTGCCTATTTGCCTAGGACTACAGTTACTAATGCCCATTGATCCTGACCCATTAACTGCATAAAAATGCCATTTAGCCATGGTTTAGGAAGTCCACCCAAAAAAAAAACTAAATATAGCAACGTGTTTTCAGAATGAGGCCAACAGAGATTATTGCACTAGCAGTTGAAAACGTGTAAACTCTGTATTGGCTGATAAAGGCTGAATTACAGTAACACTGAACTGAAAATGAAACCAAATATTGAAAGTAAAACAAATTTGAAAGTGAAACTAAAGTTCAGTTCCAGTTTTCATTTGTGTCAGTGTTGCTTTTTTTTTTTTTTTCTCATCACAGAAATGAAAATACTTACATACTATGTCTCTTATTTCTCTCCATGCAGAATATCCATGAGCTCCGATTTCCCGCACTACAATTCCAGGATGCCAAATATAGGGTTCCAAAACCTTCCCCTTAACATCTACATTGTGGTGTTTGGGACAGCCATCTTCGTCTTCATCCTCAGCCTCCTCTTCTGCTGCTACTTAATAAGGTAAGACCAACACACCCTTAGCTTTGGATTTGGCTTTGCTTTGAATTTTTCTTGTGTTTGATATTGCTTTGCTGTGTGGTTTTTGTGGCAATAAGTGTCATACAGGGGTCTCTTTGGTTAGGCAGCATCGATTATTTACTGGGTACAGCAAGTCGTTAATCTAGTGGTTTTACAACACAAGTTTTCGTCATGCGTTGCCACTTTCCAAAAAGCCACAGAAGTATGTATTTATCTCCTTTTGAGAAACACATTCAGGCTTGCAGAAACCAAAACACCAAGACACACATTGACGCCTCGACAAATATAACGACACAGAAAACTGGCAGCAGAAAAATAATTTACACATTCAATTTAAAAGCAAATTCCTGCAAGCTCAGCTATTTAAATGTACGATTTAAACTTTATTCAAAAAGGGGCTTTGTGCAACCTGACTCAGAAGACAGATTTTTGTTTTGAACACACTGTACCTCTTTTGACTAGCAGTACCACTACTTGTGAGACTTGAACATTATAATGAGAACTGAATGCTGACACTGGCATTATGCAACACATGCTCGTACATTTCAGGTCACTTTGGCTCATTAATTATTTGTCCAAAAGTGCCCTTGTGTGCTACTTCACTGTAGCTGTATTAGCTGTATCCTAATTGCTTAATACTATTGGCACTATTATATCTAGTAATCTAAAAAACACTACCAAATGCAAAACAGTATCTTATAATTATGTGGTTTCTGTCCAACAAACTGTATGGCACTTGTCACAATTGCTTCTAGTTGAGGCTGAATTAATTAATCTTTTTTTTTTTTTTCTTTTAGAAATATGTGGTTTTGTATTGCTAATTGTTATTTCACACAAGGGCAAAATGTTTCAACAGCACAGTTTGGAGAAGGTAGCTATGATACTACAATTGGTGAATTTATCATCCGAATTGATAGGAAAAACAGTAATATTATGCTGAGATCCAAAGATGCTTGGCTACATTATTATGATCATGGCACTCGGCGTCAAAGAAACTGGTTATACCCATTTTTAATTAATTAAATTTGCATTTGGATGTTTAAATCTCTTTGTAACCATTAATATTCCTTGTTAAAGCTCCCATTTTCAGCATTTAGCCATGAGTGTGATCCAGCAACTATTTCTCATTAAGGAAAAGTAGAGGTGGTTACAAGTCATTCCCTCCCCCTCCCCCCCTTTTAACCCCACTGGTGTAATCAAATTGTCCTGGCTGCTGTGGCTGCAGGGGTTTTCTCCTGCCAGCGACAAACTGAAAAGAAATAATCTCCAACATTTTTTATCTGAGACAGTGAGAAGCAGCAGTTCCCAACAAAATTCACCCCACGTCACCCTGTCATATCCTATCTTGCAGGGCAAATGGTAAGTAGGTTAACAACTCATTTGTTCCACCAACTCCTTATCTAACTTTAAAGAGATACTTTATGACTTTGATGCAGTACCATGATTCAATACTGAAAGTCAAGATTGTCGGGTTTAGTCACTAAAGGCAAAAAGAGCAAATTTTTGCTCCATAAAAGGCGTCTAAAGATGCAGTCTCCCAAAGGACTGGCCCAAAATGACTTAGATTATATGCACTCATGAATATACATATACTTCCTTTACAAATATGTTATGGCCACTGCTTAGTTAAACATCAAAGGCCACCATAAAGCGGGAACTCCTATGGTTTCTGTGCATCGTTGCTCTTGTTTACACTGGCAGGTGAATGAAGGGAACAAGGAATTTACGTTAGAGTTGACATGTGACGGGTCATTATTCCAACAAAGATAAACACTGACACATAGTTTGACACAAGGCAGACTCTCGCAGAAATACTCGACCACCTCTTATCAGCGAGTCTTCACTCCACACACATATATGTGAAATATGCAATGCAGTGGATATATAGCAAGTATTTCTTGTGCATGGGGTGTTTGTGAAAGTAAGGGACAGGAGGCCTGGCATGCTGAAGTCATGAGCATGGCCTAAAGGTTTATACATATGCAATGTGAAGGAACCTACGTCAGTCTATAGGTGGTTAATCCATGCACTTTGTAACATTTACATGTAGTGCTCATGAATGTTGACATACCACAAGGTAATCCAGACCACTTGGACATTCTTGACAATAATGATGTCTGACACATATTTTACATTTTGAATCGCCCGTTGACTGCACTCAGTGATAATGATAGCTTTGAGTGAATAGTCAATCTGGATACCAATTTTTCATCGAGTTATTCTCGTTGCCCACTTTGACATTGTACTTTAAGGCCATTGAGCAACTCCAGTCAGTTACCCACGACCCCCTCACACATGACCAGTTGTCCCCTACCCTTGGGAGTATCTGCACCTTTTCCTGCTGACCTCTTTCAAAATGTCAGTTTCTCTCCTAGACTGTGCTGCTTGTTTTACAGATCCCTCTCACTCTGCTGCGAGAGGTTAAGGTTACTTGTAATGGAGGTAAATCTTACAAACCTATGAATTTCTCCTATCTCTCTTGTTTTCTTGCTTTTTTTTCTACATATTTTTTGTTCTTATTCTCAGTACCTACATTCTTTTTCTTGTCCAGTGCTCTTCCTGTCCTCTCCCTGTTCACTGAGTTGTTTTATTTGTGCTCATTAACAAGAGCAATGTTTATTAAGAGTTAAACATTGGTTGAATCTGTGGGTAAAATCCTTTTGTACCAGGAGTTTTGCAAGACTGTTTAGAGTGCCTCGACAACCTGCAGTAATACCTTTAATGTCTGATCCAATGTATTTTGGGTGTTTGTTTTTTTAGGAATGATATCTGTTAATATGTAACTTAGCTTACTATTGCATGACTAAGCAAACCATATATTTAACAGAGTTCAGTAAGGTGACATTTTCACTCCTTTCTGTAATTGGTTAAACAAATTAATATTTATTCAGTCAGTAGTCCCATGATTTGTGTCACCTGATGTAGGCCCGAGGCAGAAACATCTCTTAAACGCATGCACTCATGCAGAACATGCACGACCCAAATGTTTTTATTAAGAATGTGCACTGCTCTGCCTTTGTTTTTCTCTTTTTGAGATACATCATTTATAAAATCTAGAAGCCGTATGTATGCCAAATTATTACTATATTCAGTATGGAGTTGCTCTGTATTTTTAACATCCATTCGATACCGCAATGACACACTAGAATAGACTGATGTCAGAAGGCAAGTATTTAATGAGAAAATTACTTCCATGTTTGTCATTTTTCTCTCTTTTTTTCCAGGATGTATGAATACTTTGTCTCTATTAAATGCAGTCAGTTGGAGAAGGTCACTTACTAATCAAAAAGATGTTTTGTCTTTACGTCTCCCCAGGTTACGGCATCAGGCGCACAAAGAGCTATATGCATACAAACAAGTAAGCACTCCACTGACACACACACACTCACTCACTCCAAATTAAATCATATACGAGCTACTTTCAAGCAGAAATGTGTCAGAGTATTAGTACTTGTGCGGAGAAGATCCTAAATATCAGGTCAGCTGGCGCAGGAATTCATTTACTGACTCTTCTGGCAGCTGCAGGTATTTCAAGGGGTTTCCTGCTCAATGGATCTAGCCCATTTCAAAGTATTTAAAGGTTTTTGGTGAGTGTACTAAAAATGATGAATTTAACTTGAGCTGAAGGGAAGCAAGTGGCTCAGCTGGAAAAAATAAGGTTCACAGTGAGCTGGAGTGTGTCAGCAAAGTATAGCCTGCAAAGCTAGTAAGAGGAAAGGATGGAGGGCATAAACATAACTCTTGTGTCCTTCAATTATGTAATACCAACATGCAAAAACACCCGAACATGTCAGAGTTAAACTGCACAGTAGATGCTATGGTGACCATTAACTCTGTAATGTGTCACCCTACTTATCTTAATACTTGCCAGCTAAAAACATACATTTGTCCAGCTTCTTTGTGGGTTATGTAAAGCTATCAGGCTCATATAGTTAACACACACAGGCCCACACACGTTTGTGTACATGCATTTAGTATAAAACAGATTTTTACAGTCTGACTGGTAAATGTTTCATCACACACTCATTAGCTGTTAAGTATTTCATTGTATTTACACAGGAACTGGTTACTCTTAACGTAACACAGTGTTAGTGCTAATCAGTGACTAATCTTTCTCTAATCTCTTATTATGCCTCCCAGGTCATTCAAAAGGAAAAAGTCAAAGAGCTAAATTTGCATGAGGTAAGCACTCATCTTCTTTGTTCAGTTATTATCAGTTGATGAGCCTTTAATACCAAACATTGCTCCCTGTAAACAACCAGGACTATCTAGTGGGCAAAACATTCTGTAATGTAACCTGACAAGCACACACTGTATTGTTATATCAGCTAATTCAGTCATCTGCTACTTCATTTTATCAATGCTTCTGCCACTGTATCTTCCATTTACTTAGGTCATCCTATTAACTTCCATCCGAGTGGTTGTACAGTTATGTAGAAACCCCATATTTTGCCCTCGATCGATTTGAAAAAAAGGGCTAGGGTTCAGGACTCTGAAGGTCCAATTTATGCTGTCATTATGAACATAAATGAGTTTTAAAATTGTACAAACTCCTGTTGGGCAATGCAGGGTTTAATGTTTATGTTGTTGTTTTTTCCACTTTTCCAGTCAGGCAAGAGTATCAGAAAGCTACTTGCCCAAAGTCAAGTTACTTATTTGCCCCTTTTTAGGTAACAAAGACACTCTTAGCTGCCATGTACGTGAGACACTGTTTGCTCTTGTTATGGCACTTCAGCAACGTTTTTCAGAAACTTGACATGCCTTTGAAAAAAGACCCCTTTTTTAACCGCCTTTCGCTCAGGATTGCAGCAAACTGCACAATTCATAGTTGGAGTTTTGCCCAACTGAACCTCCCATCTGCAGGATAATTTAAGTGCTTGCTCCTCAGCTCATAAACTTTACTACCATTTTTTCACGAGTGCCCAATCAATCCTGCACAACAGCTGTACAACAAAGATGAGAAAGAAGTAAGTTTCATTCTTCTGTATCACTTCCGACAAGTGAGTTTCTAGATTTGCTAGCCCAAAGTGGCAGTTCTTATTGTTGAGCCCTTGGTAATGTGTCAGGACACACAGTAATGTTTGCAGTTGGATTGAACACTTTTGAATTTTGTCTGTGCTTCTGTTTTTGACAGTTTTCTGGATATCTTGTTTGGCAACAGCAATGACACATCGTATATTATTATAACATTCAGTACATCTGTCTTGACACACAGTCATGTGAAAACTAGCACTTTGTGGTTAAGTCATGAGTGCTCTTCCTTGCATTATTATTACGTAATGCTGTATGTCATCTCAGCCTGGTTGGAAAATTACAACCAGCAGTAAGTGTGTAAAGCAGCAGCACTGGCTTTGCAGTAGAAGTCCCCAGCCAGGAACACTATCCCTTTAACAGTGCAGTGCAAATGAAATGTTAATAATAGCATCTTCATGTGTGCTATGACACAGCTAAACACAGTTTCTTGACATCAGTGTTGGAATTACCCACTGTTCCATCAGGGCTCAGGCTTTTATTGTTTTTGTTATCAGAAACTGCGAGAAAGCATCAGAAGTTGTCATGTGAGTTGAAGGCTGTGACAACCAAGCTGTATTTGTTTAAGGACAATAATATACACCCCCACACACACTAGCCTGGGGGAGATGACCCAGTTTTAAATGCTCCCACGCCAAAGGATCACCCTGGAGACATAAGTATAGACTGAGTTGCAAGGATTCAATATCAGCATTTTAAAGGAATATCTAGAGTAGGAGTGCTAATATGGGATTAGTTTACTGGACAAGTCCTGTTCAGGTTTGATTGATGTGTAACCTGAGCAGTTTCCTTTCTGTAGTATGGCTTTGACCCGTATCTCCATTTAACGGTCCCAGATGTAAAGAATTCATGTCATACAAGATGGTATGAAAGTAAAGCTGCGGTATGCTGCTGAACTTTAAGATTAACATTATGCAACACGTACTGTATCAAAGTGCGGTTACACACAAATGTACATGTGTGTGTCGTGTGCAGTGGGCGCTCAAACAACCCCCCCAGCCCTCCAGTAACCAAGCAAAGTCTATCGTTTATAGGATGACATTGGTGCCTACCTGATTCTGTGGGTGAGATTGTGGTGTGTCTTACTAAATGTTTGTGCTTACAATCTAACATTACATTTCAAAACAAACAAAGACTGCAATTCCACTACACATTAACTAATTCCACTTAATAATTTCAGTATCTATTACGCTTAACAAAGTTTCAAGGAAAAGAAAAAGAGTGCGAGAATTATGTAAAATGACATCTAAATCTCATGTTACCATAAAGCACTATGTAAATGTGGTTAGTAAAGTCTGTAATCAACCACACTTGCTATATATTCTCCAGTTATTTGTGCAATCCTCATTTTAATACAATTACATATAGAATAGAATTGCACTTAATTGATTTGGCACAAGTTGTTGGTGTGAAGCTCCCTGCAGTGGCCCTGGTATAGGATTTCTTTGATTAGCCTCACACCTTCTATGACATACTGCTTTGTTTAAGAATCACATTTTAGGTTATGTTTCACAAGAATAATGGGTAGGATTGTATCCCGTTGCTTTATTTTTCTATGCATATGGGCTAGAGGTGATCATTTCACATTTTATACTTTTATGTTAATAGAAATAATATCTGGCATTATAAAGTTCAGTAACTGGTTCCATGTTGACAGTGTTTTTGGTATTAAATTAAATTGAAGGCCTTTTAATATTTATGCATTAATATAGTTAGGAAATTGGTAACAGCCATATCTCTGCTGGATATTGACATTAGTCCCTACTTTAAATATTTATTTTTAAATTGATGGTTATTGAAAGTTTTTGCTTGTTTTTTATTGTTTTTTGTCAATGTGTGAATGTCATAGTACTAATATAGCTTATGTGTAGAGCTTGTGTTTTTTTTTGCCACCTGGATTTAAATGTTTTAAGGTGACTGTAAATTAGTGACCAGAATCTAAAGTTATTGCAGATTCCAAACTTTTAATGAGCTTTACCTGAGCAGGTGGAAAGACCAAATTGGAAGTAAATAGATGCAGATCTATAGATGTAGAAAAGTGGTGCAGGAGATAAGAAAAGAAGGGCAACTTGTCCTCATCACTAGAAATCTAGAAAGAGAGGGCCTGTTGGTCTGAATACCCACTTAAATTAACTAGTGCCTATTCTGGCCACAAATTGCTTCTGAGGATTATTCTGAGCCTTCGTCCTTCTCCTCTTTTCACTGACTGTTGCTCGGCTCTCTCAGATCAAGCTTTTTTTAAATCGTACATTAATTTGTAACCTAATATTTGTTAAGTAACTCATTTGTACCACATATTTTGTCCTCGACATGGGCAATATATTGATTTGTCTTCAGCAGCACCATAAATCTTGAAGCACATCAGTTTTTTCACAAAATTAAGTCCATGTGTTTTGCAAAGAATTTGTAACTAAAGCTTACAGGACTTATTCCCTTAATGGGGAGAAAGAGGTTCTGTCAAAAGTTGGCGAAGGGTGCCAGATCCCAACTGTGAGTGTGACACCATGAACAAGGCATTTCAAAAGAAGAAAAACATTGATCTGTTCACAAATAAAGAGAACAAAGCAGACAACTTAACAGAGAATTGTTCTGTGTCCAAAAATCATGAGGGGGGAGAGCTAAGAGCCCCCGTGCTGTTCTTTTCATCCTTCCTTGTCCATCCACTCCCCCTAAAGCTGAGAAAAAGAGAATCTGTGTGGCTGAAGGAGTAATAGTTGCAGGATTAGACAGTGTGCCAAATTAAAACCCTCTCTCATGAAACAGTTACCCACTGGTTGGATGAAGTTTGATGATGGGAATTCTGTGTGTCTGTGACATTTGTGCATATTTTTTCCTTTTGATTTGCTACAAGCAACCCTATCATCCTATCCATTAGCACTTCCTTATTCAGCGGTTGTCCGTCTTTTGTCAGACTCTACAGTTATCATCCTTGTCAAGCACCACGGTGGAGTGAGTCCACTATTGCAGTTAAAGTTGGTAATGATGCATTTAACAGAATCCTCTTGATATATGTTATATTATTGTTGACTTGTGTTTGGTACATACAAGTGAAATTTGTGTGAAAGGGGCGGACGTGTGTCACCAGCTATGTGAGTGACAGTATCAGACTCAGAAGTGAAGAGGAAGTTGAGTTTAAAGACTATGGTGTCTGAATTTATCAGTGGATTTACACCAGTCCTCATCTGTGGTCAGTAGCCCTGGATTGTGACTGCAAAACATATGATTGTAATTCTGGCTACTGCTTGGAGGGTAACCTCTATTTTTTTTGCATAAAAAGGAGAAAGTTGAGGTGGTTCTGCCTTTTCTGAGATTATGATGTCTCTTGGACACGTATTATAGATTCCTGTGGATTTACAGTACATAACAGGTACCTCTAAATAGTAGGAAACACTAGGCAGACTGAGAACAGGCTGGAGGGATTATATATCCCATCTGGTCTGGGCACACCCTGGGATCCTCCAGGAAGGCAAGAACAGAATTTGACCGAAGTTAATATTTAGATTTTACAATGAATAATCATGTCACACACAAGCAACAGCTAATGCTAGTTGGCAGGTCGTCATCTCCTGCCTGTTAAACGCATTGATGTGTGTGTGTGTGTGTGTGTGTGTGTGTAAAACAAATACAGAAAAAGACAAACAACCCCAACGTGTCCATCAGGATTGCCTCAGTGACCCTTAAAGATCATAAACTTATTGTCCGGTAGTAAAATAGGTTTTAATATGTACTCATTTTCCTGTCCACTATGGTGCTTTGATGTGGGTCTGCCTATATAACAGTATGTGTTACAAAGCTTTCAGTCTTTGTAGTCTCAAATCTTGAAACAAGTTGGTTCTCAATCACAGTGATCTCTGACAGTTTTTTTGAAAAAACAAAACATTGTCACTAATGCTTGCCTCTAGCAACCGACTGAACAAGTCCCCAGTGTGAGTTAAGTCAGAGTTATATAACAGAACATAGTTGGTCAGTTCTCTGTTATTTGTGTCAAATGTTTCGCAGATGTTGGCCAAAGTTGTCTTTTTCCATGGGTTTTTGACCTCTGTCATTTGGATAGTTTGTTTCCAATCTGCCAACGCAAAGCTCAGATTTAGAATGAAAGAACCAAACACCAGAGAACAACCAACAAATTCAAAGTTGTTGCATTGCCTTCCTCGGAAAAAATCTCTAACTTCCCCCTCTGCTTTTCAGATATGTGCCGTGTGCTTGGAGGAGTTTAAACAGAAAGACGAGCTGGGGATTTGTCCATGCAAACATGCCTTTCATAGGAAGTAAGCATAAGGTTTTGTTGACATTCATGGACACACACACACACACACACACAAACACATACAGAGTCAAGGACACATGGATTAGAACAGATTTCCTTAACAAAGTAGTACATTTTCATGCCTGCTCTTAAGCATATTGACCCACAGTGAGTAGATGTAAACAAATATATTTAAAAACCAAAAAGAGAGACAATATTCTCAGAGACCAAGTTTAAAGTCATTCCAGTGCATGTTAATCACCTGACAAAGTTCATAAGTATATATTTTTGTACACACAACTATAGCCAAGTGTGTGTGAAGTGAAGGACATGATGGATTGCTTGAGCCAACTCTATCCCACACCTCCCCCCGTTGCCCTGACCATTTCAACTGAGTTGTTTATATCAGCACGACACCTCCCTTGGCCTAGTTTTTTCCCCCAGTGGCCACCACTCACTGAATCCACTGTATAAACACCCCATTTAGTGTGTTTGTGTCTGTGTGTGTGAGTGTGTGTGCAAGTAAAGTTGTGTTGTTTTACAGAGGACATTCCAAGCAGACCACAACCAAAAACATTTAGTGGTGAAGAGCATGCTATCTTCTCATAAACATAAGATTTAAATCAGTAAACTTCCCAAATCAAGGTAAAAACATTACATGCATGAATAATATAAGGTCCACTTTTAATGCTCATATTAAGTTATTGCTGCCAACCCGAAGGGTCCATTTTTGTGATGAACTTCCAACAACAGCCACATTGCCAATGTTTTTGATGAGCTAAATGAATCAGAAAATAACAGATAATATACATTATGTTGTGGCAAAATATGATTCTTTACAAGCAGGTACAAGTGTTGACACATATAGAGTCTCGAATAGGGACTTTGAAGAGGCTTACATTTTCTGTACGCCTTCACTGGCCTTAACCATAAGCTCACTGCTTTTTCTGACTTCCAGGTGCCTCATTAAGTGGTTGGAGGTGAGGAAAGTGTGCCCGCTGTGCAACATGCCTGTCTTGCAGCTCGCCCAGCAGGCTGGCAGCACGGACCCCCCTGTGCCAATACAGCAGCCTCTGCCCGGGATCGAGAACCTGGTGTAGCGGACTCGAACCCTCTCTCACAGTACACTACAGTCACACATCCCATCACTCATACTCTCACCTGTACAGGTACACTTTGGTATGAGTCTGTGGACAGACCGGAGAAACTGGAGTTACTGCGCAGATACTCACAAAAAAACGCAAATCTGCACCTCTCTTATCCATTCATTGGTTCACACAAAGGATTTCCTGATATCAGTTCTGACTGATAATCAATTGTTTTCATGTTTTTCTTTTGGCGGACAATGAAGAAGAGTTGATGTAGAAGAAGTTTTGTTCTTGGCCAAGACGTGGTCGATAACTTTTTCACAACCAAAGCACTTTTTCTGGGGACACCAGCTAAAGACCAGGAGAAAAAAAAAAAAAAAAAGCCAAGAACTACAATACACTAAAATATAAATTGTTTTGTTTTTTAACAAGCACTTTACGAGAAGTCGAACCTTAATTGCTTGTGATCGTAGTAGCAAGGTCATGTTTTATATTTTATCATTAACTATTATTTCTATGTACAGTACAAAGCAGATGGGTTTTCATTTTTAATTAGTAAACTTTGATTTCTAAACAAAAAAAAATATCTCAAAGGGACAACAATACCTATGTTGGTAGATGTCAGGAAATTTGGACAATGCACACACACACACACACACACACATAAGAAATTAAGCTCAAAGCAACCTCGAGACTTTATGTCTGACTAAATGTGAAAGGTTTGAATGTGTTGAAACCCAGAATCATTCACACTAAGCCTATAGAGTTTGTTCCCTCATCATCTGTTTGTCATTCATTACAATGTGACTGTTGTTAATATATTTTATTATTATTCTGTCAATACAGGAAGTTGATAATGAACAAATTATATTTTCATTAAAGGAATTTACCAGGTAACATCTTATATATATATACAGGAGTGCTGTTAGACAAGCGCAGGCTATGTATATATCACCCCAAACATTACACAATTCAGGACTTCTCCAACAGAAAATCAGACTAACTACTTCAACTACTGTGATTATCTAAACCAGTATTAGTGTATATAAACTGGTGCTTTATCTATGGAGCTGTTTAACAGAACAAACACCAGTAACAAGGCAATATTAAACTAAATACAAAATGTAACATAAATGTTCCAGTTTTATTTTGCTCTGCTGCATCATTTTATTTTATTGAAGCCGAGCTGTGTGAATGTTATAGTGGCTTGCTTCACAACACAAAGCAACAACAGTTATGATGATTTATCTTAAACTAGCATCACATATCCTGCTAGAAAATGATTGATAATTCAGTATAAGAAGAGACCAGGATGAAGCAGTTCCAGTTATTTTTAGTTTTTTTTGTACCCGACTAGATAATTTGTATTTATTTTTTAATTTATTATAATTTCTTGGTACAGCTGCATAGAGTAAACAAGTAAGCGGACTGACACCTGCATCAGAATCACTGCCCTCGTCATATCATCAACATATCTTTGCTCAAGATACACATTACTTTGTAAAACACACACGCATGCACCCAGGGAGGGGCTCGAGCCCCCGTCCTGGACTGCCAGAGAGTCAGTGGTCAGCATGTTGTAATGAAGCAGCATTTTCATTCACACACACACACACACACAGCACACACACACACACACAACACACACACACACGTACATACAGACAGACAGGGTTACTGCTTTTCGACAGCAGTATTCTGGTGCTTTCGCCTCTCTCCCCCTTTCTGTACGGTACAGGGGTGCTTTTTGTTTTGTGCCACACATACAGTAACTCCGAGCCCTGCCAGCTTTTGTGGTCATTTTTTTTGTCCTCATCCCTTGTTAGCTGCATTTGGTGAATGTGTTGTGGGTAAATGTGCTGATCTCAAATGGTGGCTTAAAAAAAAAAAAAAAAAAGAGTGGTGGGCCTAAAATAAGATGGTGATTGTCTTTTACCTGGGATATTGTCAAATGATAATCAGACAATTATCTTTAAAGGTGCAATTCAATTCAATTATTTTATCCAAATATAAACAAAAGAGTAGTCCCACTATTAAAGAAAAACAAATTGAAGCTGCCAACTACCACAATGAAATACATTAGACAACAAAAATCAGATTTTACAATGTGTCATTGGTTGTAAAAAGCTTTACATGTTTAATGTTTTGCTGATGGAAAAATAAACTAAACAGGCTTATATTTTGAATTCTAATTAATCTCTAATCAAACTCAAATAAAAAAATTAAAACAAAATATACTGATTATGTTTTTAAAAACACATTACCAATTTGACTTGACCACAGACTGTCATGGGCATGGAGTTACACAGTTCCCAACACATGGGTGGTTTTTAAAAAGTGGCAATGCATTGAACCTTCTAACTGGAAAGCATTGTTATTCTGATCTCTGTAGTTTGAACGTTTCATCTCGTTTGAATGTCTGCCCACAGCCCACAGGTGTGACCTTTGTGGTTGGGTCAGAGCACGCAGCAAGGTGAAAATGTCAGCGGTTAGATGAGTGCAAAAGCAGGCTTTCTCTATCCAGTGTGTAGTGCATTAGTCAGTTGTTCCATGCACTTAATGAAGTCCAGTCCTCTGACATTAATGCAGCACTATGTCTAAACTATTAACATTTTAAAAATGGCTCAAACTCAATGTTGTCCACATTAGCCTTAATTGAACAAAAAATGCCACAATTACAAAAACAAACAAGGGCTGTGTTAATTGGCAATCCTACAGCCTCTTCAGTCTACAGTTTATCAAAAAATGACTTTGTGATCAGAAAATAATTTGTATCGCCTGGCCTGTCAGCAAAGAGGTTGTGGTTTTACGTTGAGGAAAAGAAGCAACATAACTTCTTCAGTATGTTGTGTGATGTACAGTATTCGGTACCTTTTTTGCTTCTTTGGTTCATACCATTATCCGCAAAACTTCACTATATAAACTATACAACGGCTAGTACTTCTGCCACTGTCCCCGACAGACGACATATTTTGTAGCTCAGCACTAATAACGTATGAAGTCTTAAGCCTTTGTTCCTGCTAACGGTGTCGTCTCAGAATGTAAGGTTTACGAGAGGCAGCAAAGAATATGAGGAGATTTAATGTGAAAGCATGCTGTTTTGCATAGTGAAGTTGCCACTGATATCACAAATGTTAAATGTATGTAGACAGTAGTATCAGTAGTGTTGTATTTATACATAAGGTGCACAAATAATGCTCCTTAATATAAACTAAATGGCAGCTGAACACTTCTGCCATTTGGCCATCTTAAGTGTTGTGTTCGATTGTAAACACTTTTAGCCTTTCCACCTGAACTTTCCCGTTTCCTTCCTGTGTGCCGTCCTATTCCCACTGAAAACAAAGTGCCAACCCAAAATGAGCTGTTATGAATCAAAGTGTCAGCCAATCAGAAAGAAGGTCCTACATAAAGAAAAGACATGGGTGTGAGTCTCTTGTCAGTTTATGGCCAAAAAATAATGGAAACTGAGCCAGTCATGAATATAGAAATAAATGGCTTCCTGCCATTTAAATCACCATTGACGTCAGTGCTGCTTTTGAGTAATTCCATTATAAATACACAAGACACAATCTTAGATGAAATATGACAGTCAGAAACACCTTTTAACATCAAAAATGAGTAAAAAAGCATCTGAATGATGGCATCAGAATACCATTTAAGTGATGGTCCCCTCAGTGGCAGAATATGACTGTTTTATTAAAAAAACAAAAATAGAAAAATGTAGTACACACACGTCCTCTGTAGAAGAGGGGTTTCATCATATTTCCATGGTTGGTTTTAGCGACCAGACCATTTAGGATTTTTAATCTCTATCACTGCCTCCCCTAAAGTAAACTATCTTCTTGTCTGTATGCTGTGTTATTTATTCCTCTGTAGCTCTCGTAATGCCCTCCCAACTCACACATCACTCCCCTCCCACCTTTACCAGTGTACATGAGCACCCTTCCCCATCCACACACCCCTGTTTGTTAACACTGATTATGTTTGTGGACTCTCACAGACATTGTAAAACTAAGAATTCTGCAGCAGAATATTTTTGGAGACAATTGCTGTACAGTATTTGTAAGCTCTATTTTTGTATATTGCTATTTTGGAGAAAATAATATGCATTTTTTTTTTCTTTTCTTGTTTTTGCTAATTTCATGTTTATTCATTTTAAGAAAATATTGCATGTGACTGACTTGAACTGTAAATAAAATTTCCAGGTTTTGGAAAAAAATGAAGTGTTTTTCTTTGTGTACGCGGTCCTCATGTCTTTCAGCAAAATAAAACCCTACCCTGATTATGTGAAAGCTATGTAATGATTCAGATATACATTTGATGTAAAATTGTTGTATATTTCTATCTCACAGTTACACAAATAATTGTGGTCCAGATTCACTTATTGACTGATAACAGATATGCTCAGTGGTTTAATGAATGTCTTGCACTTTGACTTACTTTATTTAAAACTTGATAGCTTGAATGTTGTCATATTGACCACAGACTAATTAAAATATTGTGTAATACCACCACCTTGTGGTTAAATAGCATTAGTTACTTGCTCAGTTCAGCTGTATGTTGAATACGGCACATTAGACCACGGACCCCCAGTTTGAGAGGATTTGTCTTAAGCCATTCCCTCTGGTGTATATATAGTATCAAGATTATAAAGTATTTAAGGCATCAACTGTTTTTCCCCAATGCACTAATGTGACATCAATGTGTGACTGACCCAGGACACAAAACACACCCCACTAAAGGGCAAGTTCACCTAAAACAATGAGCATTAAAGCATGTCTTGCATTGTTGGCTAATCTTGTGGCCCTGTCTTGCAGAGAGGCTCTTTGTGTGAGAATCTAACTTCCCATGATTCACCCCTCCCAGTTATAGTGAGCTAGGAACACAGTACACATGCCTAAATAAATGTGAGCTTAATTAAATTACCCAAAACTAATTGACACACAGCAAACATCAGGAATACTGTTTGGTTTCTGGGCTGGGACTCCAGTCAGATTATCTTAAAGTATCTCCTAAATTCATGTTTCATCATATAACCACAATTTTTTTTTGAATGTCTTCAGTCATTCTTTTAACGTGGGTGAGGTCTGTTTATTAAACAGTACGACAAATAGTCTCATTCTCAACCAGTCATTTTGATGTATGGTCACACACCCTGCGACCTGCATTTAGGTCATTAATCAGAACCTTCTGTCACTTTCTGATAACTGAATTGACATTAGAAGGAAGTATACATATATATGTAATTCCTTCTAATGTGTATATACATATATATATATAGAGAGAGAGAGAGAGAGAGAGAGAGAGAGACTTTGCAGGCAGGATGGGCCGTATATTTAGAAGTCCAAAACACCATTTTAAAGAATATGAACAGTTCAAGAGTTTTGTGTTCACGCTAATACCCTTTTGAGAAATAAAAGTGACATTAAACTTTGACTGTATTTTAATACTATCAAGGATGCGAAGATGAGACACACGAATCAAACAACCAACTGCGGCTTCCCCAGGCTTTATTCTTTCATGAACTTTACAGGACAGCATTCATTTGTTAAGGCCTCTTGTATGTGTATAGTTACTTTGGGCATTTATCAACAATCTCTAAATGGGCCAAGATTTGAAAATGAATGCTTCAAGACCAACAAAGAGAGTACTAATCACTACACACTAAGACAGGATGACTCCATCTTCTGACGGAATCCTCGCATACAATGACATCGTAATTTCAGTGCTTCGGGACAGAGCGCAATCAATTTGACTTATCCAGTTCAAAGTGACCATCTCACACTTACAGTAAAGATATCATCAGGCACGAGGTTTAATAAAAGTCAAAAGGTACAAGTATATTCGAGTTGATTTGCATGGCGGCGTCGAAAAGATTGATGGTGACTAGACGGTACACTTCCATTTAAGTAAAACACGAATACCTCATCCAATCTGAAGCCAAACATGTTACACTGCGGGTGAGTTGTATACATGAAGATCACTCAACTGCTGTCCGAGAGACGAGACCATTCTCTGGCCCCTTTCATAACTTCACTTCCCTATTTGTTGCTATTGAATATACATAGTTTTATATCACATCCATAATGTAACAAAACAAGTGACTCAAAATAAACAAAGAGTAGTTATGTTAAAGTGCACGATGAATAGAAAGATGTGAGTGAAGATGAAGGACAGCTCAAGGCATTGCTTGGCGTAAAATTAAACAAGAGGTCCCAAGAGTGCCTGCAAATGTTACTAGAACGTGAAGATTCGTAGAAAAAAGACGCAAGCTTCTGGGTCTGTTTTGTAAGTGTTTGGTTTGGGCAAACTAGACAAAGATGATATGAGAATAGTCTATTAATACTTGAGTCATGGTAACTGCATTTTCACAGAGTCATGAAGAATGTAAGCTGGAAATATACTGATTTTTTATCAGATATATTGTTGCCTCATCTTTAAGTATTCATGTACATTGAAGTTGGCCACTCTCTATAATCAATTGGACATGTTACCGTTTCAATGGGCCCACAAGACAACAAAAATCGATGTTGGAGACCCCTCTTGCGCCAAAAACACTACTATTGCTTGCTGAGCATCGGTTTTCAGTGGTAGTATGTTAGTGATAAATGACCTCCTGGTGATCAGCTAGGTAATGAGGGAAATCAAGATCGGAAAACCATTTTGTCTATCTTTTTAGAGCAAATACAGCGAGGGTTAAGAGCCAGCCGCTGGGATCTCCGCAGTCTCAGATTGGAGAAGGGAAACCAGAGCCCGCACTGGCAACCACGATTCCTCGCGCCCAGGCACTTCAATATACGGAAACTGGGGAGAGAACTCTTCTTCTCGCAGGGAGCAACCAGAGAGGGAGTACTTACTACAGTGTGGTAGGTATGCAAAAGGAAACAAGGTCCTTAA